GTCCGGTCAAGAGAGCTTGGATAATTTCTCTTGTATACGCCTCAAGACACAAGAAATAGTAGTAGTTCGCATAGGCTTGTGTCATCGATGAACTTGTTCTTAAGGGAGTATCACCGTTTTAAAGGACATATCTTACTACGAGATTGACCGTCGAGAGATACTGAGCGATTGTTGCCGTCATGGAGTGCAAAGCCTACGGAAGGCCCTATAAAACTTCCATATTTCAGCACACTTTAAAGATTATCCTGTAATGGACAGGTATGAAATATGGCTAGTTATTCGAGAAATGTATTTAGAAACGTAAAATATCAAGTATGAATCAGGGCAGACCTTCGATAAATACGTTGAAGGAGTCGGTACCGCCATCATTTGATGTCGTCTTGTGTCATCGCGGAACGACCAAATTACTAAAGATGCCTTTCTATGTCACACGAGTTACCGCACAAAGCTAAGGAAACCATTCTGTACATGAAGTCGCAAAACAATACGAGCATGCAACGGCTGTCAGCTGTAATTCAATTAAAGTACCGCCTTACCTCGTGGGATGAAGACGACGCTCCGCTCCTCTAGGCCACACTCATAGAACAAAAGCATCATTTAATCTTACGAAATATGAAATATGTAGTGCATTAATTTCGGTATATGAGAAATGTTAATACTAAACTACGAAGGCTACCAGACTTACCTGACGAGGTCTAGGGAAGCTTTATGCTCGAGATCGGTATTAGAGCTTGTTTGACATGAGACACCACGGACGCATAGTTCTGCTACCGACTCTCGAAGATCAGAGGTTCTGTGATTGAAAGTCACTCATCATTCCAATAAAAATTCCGCCTCTCGATAAGATGAGAAGAGAGAAAAAAGGTATGATCTAGAGCCCGTTAATGAAGTGCGAGTCCAGGCTCGCGATCTCTTATGTCACAAGAGTTGCGTGATATGACTACCGCAGGTCGAGGTCCTTGACGCCATATCAGGAGGTTATTCCCTTCGACCTCTCAGAGCCATAAGGCTCCTTTTGACTCGGACTTGGCAGCCTGCCGTAGGCCAGCAAAGTGCTCACAATATCTTAGTTCATAACCCATGGGAAATCTGGTCACCATCTCAGCTCTGGCTTGCATCTCTGACCAGTGCTGTTTGTCCAGCCATCCAGGGAGGGCAACAGTCGCCCTCGGATGTGAGATCACCCGGATGGGGTTGACACCGCTCTTTGCAAGGAGATATTTCGCTCAGTCCTCGTGGACCAGACTCTGCATTTGTCGATGCAATAATATGCAGACTACAAGCCGCAAACCGCACAGTAGACAGACCACATCACCCATCAGTAGCACCACATAATATCTCTGCCTCCAATTGCTTCTTTCAAGATTGGGCTCACTCATCCTATTCGAATCACTGGTCCACGACATCTTGGGTGCGGATGCTCGCCTCCGCAAACCGGCACAGTAGCCAGCAGGTTATATTCCGCACCGGGTCATGAGAACCGATGTACTGCAGCATTTGCGATGGTCCCTTCAAATAGCATATCGTATGCAACTTGGTGGCTGCAAGTCCGCATATCAGTGGCGTAGAGCGCTTCAGCTGGAAATCAGCCTCGTGACCGGGCAGGGCCTACCCGCAGACGGGTCGTTGCTCCATCACTAGTGGCGATGGACAAGACCATTGCCGCCTATTGCTACCCGATAGCCTCATCTGAAAATGTTTGAGTATGTGGGACCAATATCAAATGGCTAAGATGCATCATTACGACTGATAAGCCAGGCTGCCGGCCCTCGTGCCACATAAGCGACGCCGCAGAACGGTTCATGACCGCCCACTGGTCCACAGATTTCTAATGACTGATGGTTATAGCCAGATTTATATCCGGCTTGAGAATACTCAAGAGAGAGCATGGGTGTCCGGTACGGGCTGTAGGAACAGATTCGAAAGCCTTCCCTTCGATCTATAGCTGGATGAGGATGAAATATTTGCTTAACCCTCACACATCATTATCCCATCTTAGGTAATACAGAAGAGCTGCCAGACACCCGTGGGGGACTAGGAGGATGGGTGACACGAAGTCAAGACAGCTGCTGTACTCACCAAGCGGGTGCCAACTTGCCCGACGAAGCGTGTCCAGCGTGTCTTGTGACAAAGATTTGGACCACTTGTTAGATACTCTACCGAGAATTTTAACGAAATTAAGCCGTGAGTAGTATTAACCCACCAACCAAGCCACATACTGATGCAACCATACCGTGAACCATAACCGACCACGGCTCAGCGGTGCGGTCGTCTGTGATCATGCTCGCATGGCTCATTATAACAGTGCCGGTGTGACGGCCTCCTACAGAAGCAGCTGGTGCCGTTTCAACTTGAATTATTGGAAAACGCGGCGAATGGAGCTTCGATTCTCTATAGTTTCTGACCCATACCGGTCACTCTCGATCCAATGCATGACAGACTTTGGCTGTTCATGGCAACCATCCGCCAGCCCTTCAGCCGGCTTTCTCATGACTTGGCACTGCAGCATGACACAATTGTTCATGAAACATAATCAAAGCCAAAAACCTGTACTACTTACGCCATACCTGGGCAACGTTTTGTGTAACATTGTCGGTCACTTTCGGAGTTAGGAGCTTTTGACCCCTGTTCGAAGTCGCTTGCTAGGAAAATAAGCCGTCGTCTTCAACCTTGAGCCGCAAAATTATTCTGTCTTACCTCGCCTATGGTCCACATAGCCTTTGCAATACGTTTGCTTCGACAGGTATCATTTTACTCTTGTCAAACGTCCATGTTCGTCTCTTCATTTTCTCTGTTTATTACGGTTAGTCAATAGGTGCGGTGTCGTGCAGAGCCGAACCAGCGATGGATGCACAACAGCAGCCTCCGCAATCTCCAACGGCTGGTCCCGTGTCCCAGAGATGCAAAAGGGGGACAAGATCGGATTTCAGAAAACTGAAAATTGTGGAGGTGGGCGCCCGCTGTCGATTTCCGGGACAGGGTATCTGAAAAGTGGCTGGTATTTCTTATTTCAGCAAGCCGCATCTTAACATGTGTCTATTATTGCCGCTTCCATCCATGCGCATTCTGCTAAGGAGTCTTCCCCTCTCTCAGCGAGTTGAGATATATCACATTTGACTCTCCTGAAATGGGGCGTGTACTGCAAGCCCGCTGCGGTGTGATAATGATAACCTGGCACCCGGTGTCTTCGCGGCGTTCGCGGAGGGGCTGACAGGCATGTGGAGCGAGGCTAGCTTTGTCGTATGATGCATTCTTCATCCCTCAATGTCAGCGAACGTCCATCGGTGGCACAACCTCAGCCGTATAGCGGACAGGCGCAAAGTGGGACCATGTGCTCCGACATCTTTTCTTCTGGAAGTGCCGTGTGGACTCCTAGCTGCAGTAAAGATCGTATATGGTCAAGGCCTAGAACTAACTGGGGCTCATCAACCTCTCCTTCAGAGTCTTCCATCCTAGCGAGTGTCCACATTTGCGGTGACCCTGATTCCATTGAGGATGTGTATTTGCCGCCCACTTGGGGCAAGGCTTAAGAGACCTAGGAGGAGTACTGCGGCAGTCATCCTGCCGGCCGGCCGATGACGAGAGAATGACGGGTGATGGAAAAGAATTAACAAAAGCAACGTGAGCCTCTTAGTCCACGCCATGGGACCCAGAGACGCTCGCTCGAGCTCCGCTTGTCTAAGACCCTGAGACGCTGTCTTGGCCGGCATGTTCATGGAGGAGCTTTTGCTAGATGCGGTGGAGCCGCCGTCGAACAGCGACTGCACTGTAGCGCGCAGCTTGAGCTGGCATCAGCACTTGTGTGTCGTGCCTGAGTGAGCCTTCAACGCCGCATGCCCCTTCACACAGGTATCTGCTGTTGCCGGATACCAGCTGCCAGGACTCTCCAGTGGAACAGCCCTTCAGAGACGATGTGGGTCCACCACAGCGGTGTGGTAGCATGCATCTGCCCTACATGTCTTCACGGCGCCAAGATTCCCGTGGCTGAAGGCTAGAGACGTCGTCTCATGCGCCTGGCCACAATCTGCTTGTGCTGCATACATGCACAGAGGCGCCCTGCGGAACCACCAGAGGCCCGACCCCACGGTTTGCCGAATGTCGGCTGGGAGGCGGCGCGATTGGCGCTGGGGCGCTGGGGAGAGCTGCATGATAACGTTTGGGTTGCTTTGCAAGAACGATACACGCTGCCAATGTCGACGATACTTCCGAGTGGAGCATATCCAGCAAAAGCCGCTGTTGTAGCTCGACAGCGGCAGAATCTTTCCTTTTTGCAAGGTCTGGTCTGTTGGATCAGATCCCGGAAGACTGTCGCTTACAATTCTCGTTCTGGTCGGTGCTAGTGTTGTGTTTCTGCCAAGTACCATCTTGATGCCACCAGGATCAGCCCCCTGGACGTCATAGCGAGGCCGTCCATCAGCCATAACCCTGCGATTTACCAAGCAATTGCCAGAACGTCACAAATGCATGGCATACAGATGTCAGATTGGCGGAGAAGAACAGCTGCACACGAGATGTGTGGTCCATGGCTTCCATTGGATGACTATAGGGCCAAGCACACCTTAACGATCCCAGATATGTTCTGTGGCATACCGGAAGGCAATGATACCGCTCCCCGGATGCTTACAGCCATATGTTTTGATATAACCTTTTTTTAATTCCTTTTACCAGAAGAAGCAAAGCGTGCATGAATTTTTTTTCGCAGACCGACCTGTATTTTCCCCCCAGGATTTGACCTCTCTTTCCCCTTTCGTACACTCTCATCTCTGGAAAGACGAGAGCCACACCTCCTCTAGACCGGGGATATCCACACGGTCAGGAGGCAGGAGATGCGTCGTGCAGGCAGCTTGCCGTGCTCACCGACTGGCTGCACACCAGCGGCATGCCATCTGAGTCGAGACACATATGCGTGGCGCTCACATCCAGTACCCGATCTTGACGCCTCTTATCGACACAAAATGCCCCCAGATCGTTGTGGCGGTCAGCCAGTCCCCCCGTCGTACCTAGTTTGGATACTTGCGCAAGGGGAAAAATGCATCTGGCATGGGCTCGAGGTGCCAGATTCGATCCCACTCCCTCTCAAATGCATCGAACCACTCCCGCTGCAGAGGCACCGGAATCCGCCAGCCCCGTTCAGTGCTGCGGCACCGGAGCCGGACCAGGTGGCGTTTCTCCATGGCACTCTCGCCGTCCACGAAGCCCTCGCGACGGTGCAGTACCGCGAGGTTGTTGATGAAGTGCATATCACCAGCGCGTGTCGCGATATGAAGCTCTGTTGCTCGGGCCGCTGCCTCAACAGCGTCGAGCGCTTCGCGTTGCTTCTCCGTCAGGACAGGGAGGGTTGGTTTACGAGGGTGATTTACGCTGCCGAGAAGCGCCGCCCGGCCGAAGTTCATGACAAGGCGAGAGTCTTGGTACCAGATAACGGGGCGGCACTGAAAGCGTGGCCTGTTCCAAGGAAAAAGAAATTTGGATTAGCTTTGCCGGGCTAGCGGTTCCTCGCAGTAGGCTTCTGTTTGCAAAACTTACAGTGCAAAAGGCCAGTCAGATCGTGCCAACGTTCTTATGATGTCAGGGCGACGTGTAGCTAACACATTGTATATGGTGTAGGCAGAGGCTATGATACATTTGCCGCCTGCAGCTGCTGTGCTGCGAGTCAGCCAGCCAACCACATCTCCGGATTCCTCGTTATGGAAAGTCTGTGGATTAAGGGATTAGAACAAATCCCCAATAAACTCAAGAAGACTTATCAAGGATCTCACAATGGGGTTCGTGGAATGCCGGTGGTGCTGCTTCCTTGCCGGCGAGCTGTCATCTGCAACCACATGTACTAGATATTTCTCAATTACTACACACGGAAAGAGTCAGGGTGAAAAAGATATTTTGACTGACCAAGCATGTTTCCGCGGCTGTCTTGACGACCTCGTTGATCAGCAATGTACGCCTGGACGCCCAGATAGATCAAAGTAAGGTCCTCGACTGTATACTTGTGGGGATCAATACCCCTAACAACACAGAATCCTCTTCCATCGTGTACCTCTCGACTCAGCGAGTCTAATGTGACGCCTAAGGCAGGTAGTGGGAAGTTCTCTCGGGACACGAGATCACCGTCTAATTCTAGCCCTAGATCACAGTCTATATTAGCAACCTCCTCGTATCAAGCCACTACTCTCTATTTATCATAAAAGTATGGAAATATGACGCCCACCTTTGAAGTACGCAAGCGCAGTGCTAATTTCGGCAAGGTTAGCTTCCGTGAGCAGGTAGATGTAGTTGGCCTCGTGGATGAAGTCGGCTCCGGACCAAGCTAGTGCGTGGCTCAGGTGCGAGGGCATGCCCAGGGGCAATGGTGGGATGCCAGCCTCCGACCCAAGGTTTGATGCCAAGGCAATGAAGTCCTGCGCAACAGCATGACCGACAGTGGTGCCAATGACGGGTCCTTCGTTCTGGGAGCTCATTGTGAAGGAGGTGTGTGGGGAAGACACGGGAAGCCTAAGACTGGCGCTTGTTAGTGAATCCTGACGACACAGTTCGGTCACAATATCTTGCCTATAATATTCCTGCTTCTATAAGCGAAGTGAGGCTCGTCTGTTGAACAGGGGAAAGACCGAGTGGTGGAGTAGTCAGATGTACAAATATTGAGCTTGGAACTATGTCCAAGACAGAACTTGATCGCCTAGGAGAAGAGAGGGTATCGACTTGGCTTTTAAATGGATTACGAGCCTCTCTTATACGACGGATGCTGCGAGCAGACAGGGAGCACCAGAGACAGGGCCAAGGTTGTACAAACAACAGGACACTGTAAAGAAGACGATGGCGGGAGTCGGCCGGTGAAGATTACGTCTCATGATTTGTTCTTTGCTTGGTGTGGCAGATAACTAAAAGTGATGTGTGCGTTGTCCTGCCTCCTCAAGGGCAAAGAAAAGAAAAACCACAGCAGCTCAGCACCAACTTGAAGGAAAGACAGGGTGAAGGCTACAACTCCGGCGCCAGAGCTCGCCCAGGAGGACCTGGCAAGGGAGTGAGGAGAGAAAAGACAAAAACACGGCCTTTCCTTTTCGATGTATTGAGGTGGTGTGGATTTGGACCTGGACAGGCAAAGAACCAGGCGACCCGGTCTTACTTCAAGACAACAACCCAGCAATGACAGCAGCTACTAGGCCTTGGGGCAGCACGGCTGTACCTGGCCTAGCCTAATCGATGCATGAGCTCACATGGGGTGTGCACATGCTGTCATTGTGTGCGTTCGCCGGTATAAGTATAGGGGCAGGCATGTGTGTATGAGTTTAGGTATGTATGTGTGTATATGTAAGTGTAAGTGGATGTCAGTAAGGCATGTTAGCCGGGGGGTGGGTGTAAGAGACGTTGATTGAAGAAAAATATTGGGTGTAGTGACAGAGAGTAAGAAACGGAGGATGTCACAAAGTATCAGAAAGAGCACGACTTATGGGGCGGGCATTCCGAATTAAGCGCTGGTGTGGGTATGAAATGGCACGGAATGTCTGACGGTGCTCGTGGAGATCGCAACAAAGCACTCTACGGTGCTGCGAGCGATCGAGCTGGAATCGGCGGCTGGTGGTCGTCGTGTTGCAGAGGGATACTGTCGTGAGTGCGGATCGAGGATGATGATGGGACATCACCAACTTCGGTGCATCACGGGAGCGAGCAGCAAGCAGGAGTGAGCTACACAGCCAAAGGCGATGCGAGAAGACCAGACGAGGCAACGGTACCACTCCGAGACCACCTATCAAGCAAAGCGGCGGCGGCAGCAGTCTTGACCGGCTCGTTTACTTAACGGTCTGGATGTTTTCAATATTTCTTGTACGACGCCGGCCGCGGGTCGATGAACAGAAAGGGGGTGGGGAGGACGGGCCCAGCAGATGCTCATAATTGACCGATCTGTTGTAGCTCTTTGGTAAGGTGTTACCCTACATACATGTATTAATTACCTGGGCCGTCGGCTCCGTGCCTCACGGGTCTTGCTCACGCGAGGGAGGGATGCAGGCAAGTCAGAGTGCCCATCGATCCGTAGGCATGTACCATACAGTACAAGCCCGCCCTTGATGGCGTCGGATACCAGCCCGACGCCGCAAAAACAAGGTGCGCAGAAGCCGCGATGATGGGGGCATCGCCTTTCTTTTTGGTTGACAGCTCCCTTCCCCGCCTGGCCTGGTACAGGCAGTCGGTCGTGCGACAGCGCGACTCAACGTCGATACTTGCAGCGATGGAGCCGCACGGCTTCATTTTACCTCTTTCCTTCTCCTTGTCTCTCCCTGCTGCAGCGAGTGCCATGCTGCTTCCGCGTCGCTAGCCATTGAAGGTGGGGTAAGCTTGGAGGCATCAAGTAAAGTTAAGGGGACTCGGGGGAGTACGCAAGTTTGGCGGCGGCGGCGTGGTAGTGCATATTAGCGTGCGTAGGCGAGGTACATAAATTGGATAGTGGTAGACAGGTTATGGATGTATGTATGTATGGATGGATGTGGTCGAAAGACCCGTCTCTCTCATTCTCAGCTCATCACAGTCATAGGTCATTCTCCCTCAGACTACATACACATGAGAGGTGCATTGCCCTACAATCCTCGTCCCCGTGAGGAAAAAGCAAAATAAAATAGAGGCGCGTCTTGCAGGGGAAAAATGAAAGCCCTGCAGGAGTGGTGGCCCCGAGCGCCATCCTTGGGCGCAACTTTCATCTGGACTGACCGGCCCCCGCCGTTCCGCTCCTCGTAGCTGATCCAGCGCCAGAGATAGCCCTTGACCGGCGCAAGGATCGGGGAAGTCGACGGGAGCCGGTGTGAGGGAATGCGTCAAATGGCCCACCCGCCTGTGCGCAGTCGCTGCGCTGTTCAGCCGTTCCGGCGAATAGATTTCATCTTCTCCATCCCAAGTCTGTCTCTTTTAGTGCTGCTGCAGGAGGTTTGCATTTCAACCTAGATTACACCACGCACTACGGCTTATTTCCACCCAATTAAGCCGTTTACACTGTCTCTCGGGGTTGCCAATTCTGTTCAAAGAGTTGACTGATAAAGTAATAATCGTTTTCAAACTCCTCGCCCAGCCAAAGATCTTCCCACTCTCGCTCTGTTTTGGGGGTGATGTTATGTTAGCGGCTTCCAAGGGTTCGGTTGCATTGCCCGCCCGCGTTCTAACTTCCAGGGAGAGCAGACATGGGGTAGGTATTGGCTTACTGTGTTCATTGGAGTAGTTTCTGGTGTACTGGACGAATTGGATCGCGGAATCGTTCAGCTCTGCCAAGGTCTGCAGATCTGAATCCCTACACTCTTCAGAGAATGGATAGACGCCCTTGTTGCAGTAGTGGAAATATGCCAACAGCGTATTCGCTCCTGTTGCAAAGGTCAGCTCGAGGATCGGAGAGGAGGGGTCGCCCGACAAATAAAGCGCCACGCGGAGTCGCTCACCTTGATGGTACTGTCTGACCATGTCTTCTCTCGCAAATCGTCTCTGTTTGGAATTCTATTTCAGTAACTGATGCTTCAAGGGCATCGGATAAGGGGACGGGGAATGGCCATTGCCTATCCGGATGGAAAGCGGATCAAAAAGAAACCCACCTTCATTCCATGCTTTTGGGCATAACCGGCATCATGCTTTGTTATGAGCGCGACATTATGCAGCAAAATGAAGGTGACCAGGTAAGTTGTTAACCAGGTCTTTTGCTGCTTCTTTTGCGTCATGTTTTGCAAGGTCTCAAGGGTATCCCGACGAAGCCTGGGAAGGGTATGGTGTAAGAGGATCGAGTCGATTTGAGCCCCCATCACAGGTGGTAGTGGGATACTCCCACGGAGAGGACTCGTGTTGTCCATGATGTCGCGAGACATGCCTAACGTTTCCTCCCCCACAATCTCGAAAGACTTTGTTGTTAAACGAATAGACATCCAAAGATCCAAGGTGCTATGAATTAGCTCCTTTTCTTCTTCGCCAGTCGATGGATCCATCATTATCTTAGTAGCGAGGGCATAAGTTCTCCAGAGCAATTTCTCCTTGGGGCCGAGCAACCTCTTGCAGCATTCAACTAACCCTTTCTTGATATAGTTATCGTACGCTGTCTTCGCTGCATCAAGGTCAATGATGGCGTAGGGTGGAATCGGCACAGATCGTTTCTGCCCATTGACCACCCATGATCGCTCCAATTTATCACCTTCTTGCGGGATGAACTGCCGAACCCTCAACTCGACGAAACTGCCTGTATACCCTTCGGTTACCCTGATTGTTTTAACTTCGGACGAAGCCCAGTTGCCGATATCGTCGATTATTGCGCTGTCTTTCCAGCGCTGGGTCCACTCGAAACCTTGGACTTGGCCGGGTTTGAACAGCCGCACATCTGTGATCTTCCAGCGTCTGCAAGGGATTCGAGAAACTTTTAAATTGGCTTTCTTGCAGGTCAAACAAATATCTGGCTCTGCTGGGTCGAACTCGCACTGTGGTGAGATGTTAGTCTGCTGATCAATGTCTTACATACTCGACCCGCACTTCACTTGCGGCCCGGAGGCTGACTTACTCTGATGCGTTGCATACGACATCGAATGCAACTGCCGATTTTTCTGGTATGCGCTGTTTGTTGTCTTTGCATGTGGTCCTTGAATGGCCCGCGCTTGGCAGGAGGAGCGCGTTGGTTTGGGAAAACCATCTCAAGATTGGTTGCTCTGGACTGCATCTCTAGCTGCGTGTTTCGTCCCGAGTCTACAGTGCTGGAGATCGGATATCCCTGTGGTAAGCCGTATTGGGAAGAAGATGCGATGCCGACAGTCCCTTGACGGACTATGGACGAGGAGCTCCCTATGTCTACCATATCACCCATGTACGATGCATTTCTGTCAACAAGGTCTGTCATATGAGGACTATTGTGGAGCGCGGGTGCGGGAAGACCGTGCTCGCTCGTTTCAGACTTGAAGTACCTCGAATTTGGTGAGTTGCCCGGAAAGACCAAATCCTCTCTACTGGAGGTGGGCTGAGAGCGTAAGTGATGCTCTGGCTGGAGAGGTGGGTATGACGCCATATACACCATAGCTGGATCCTCAGTCTGGAACAGATGTGGTTGTCCCGTCTCGAGGTTGGCACTGGTCGCAAAGTTTGGCGGGTGGTTTGACATGGGAGATGTCACCTCTACGTGATACGGTCGAGGACCTGCAAAATCGTAAGTGCTGGTAGTTGGAACAGCCTGAAATCCTATCTGGTCGTCAGCGAATATGACTGCAACAATTGACCCGCACAACCTTACCACTCGGGGTTTCGTAATCTGAGCAGGGTGGGCAAAAGGGGATACTCCGAAAAGCATTGGCAATACTGGACTGATCGATGCCCAGAGTCCAGCTATTACCGGTCAACATAGTCGATAGCGTCCTGCGGCCGCCATTGTTGCTAGCACTCTGGTCCTCTAAGGCAGCAGGTGGCTCCTTAGCTTCCTTGACAGGAGAATCTCCAAGATAGGGGGACGACATTGGGA